GGGGGGGGGGACACAAGAAAGCAGCCACTTAAGTAAAATTACTTTATCAATAACTTTCTATTAAAAATAGTGATGTGTTTGAATTTCAGACGGATCCCAGTGATATGATTATTGAATGCGTCAACGATCTTCGACAGTTTAATGTATTTATTTTCAAAAAATTGGTCAACCTAGAGAAGAGCCCAAAAAAGCGGGACACCCTCATCGATGCCATATTCAAGAAAGCCTTCAAGGAATTTCATATGGAAATTATTGGATACGAAGCTGTGATCAATGTTAGCACTGCTTTTGCTTTATCTCTACCGTCCGCGCCTGCCACTTTCCTCCTTCGCTCTGCTTTCGCGCTGTTTTAGCATAAATCTTAAAATTTGAGGATAACGATTTTACCTACTGTCACTAGTACCACGAGCATATTCAAAGAACACAGAAGTTTTGTAACAAAATATTGTGCTGTAGACATGATGACACTTCCTCCGGTTTTCGCTTTTGTTAATTCCTTAAATTTAGCGCTATTCCACAAGTTTACCGCACCTTAATGCTTTGCGGTTTCCAGTCTAGTGCATTTTACATTTGCTGTATTATTTTTGGTACAAAATTTGGCTTTACTCAGATGATTTTGGTTTACGTCGTTCTGCCCAATAATGGGTGCTATTATTAACGTTCAACATTAATCCTCCTCGTAATAAGATTGTGCTTGCACCCGTTAGACTAATCACTGGATAAATCAGTCACTTCTTTTTCAGGAAGACAAAACAGTGCTAAAGTATCGCGACCTCATCACAATTTTTGAAGGCTCATTGACCAAAGTTTCAGCGCAGGAGCAGGTAAAAGTTTTATATCGCCTTTCATAATTTTGCGTCTAAAACTTTCTGACTAAAAAAAAGGATTTGATAAAAAATTATTAAATTTATGATGCTCAGCAGCTAAAAATTCATTTTCATGGCACTCCTGTAAAAAAAGTAGAGAAGAGAAACACGGAATTGGAAAATTATAACCGAAGGCTTTTTACGCATATTATAAATAGGTACCGTTGTGCCAGTACTAACTGAAGGTATGCAGTCGTGATCGAACGACTTGGCATGACTGCGCCAGAGATGTGTGGACATCTCAGTAAAATTATCACTGACCATACTGATAGTCCAAGCGGTCTTGGTACTTTTGGTATGTATTGTCATACCATAATGTAATGATCAATTTGTGAACAGTAGTTGCGTTTTAGGCAAATAAATAGTCTCAGGCATATCGACACAATCCTGCATTTTTTCAGTAAAGATTACCTGACACAGCTGCTTGAGACATACTTACGTTAATCATAGTGTAATTCTTTAATCGTACATATGGCTACTTTCCCAATCGCTCTGATCAGTGCTCCATCGCCTGGTTAATCAACTTGCTGCTGGCGATTCTGACGTCCATTTTCGTCGCCTGTTTTTCCAGTAGTCGAATTGTTGTGGATGTTGTCGATAGGAAAAAAACAAATATAACAAAATTAGGGCAAGTGATGAAACGGTTTAGCAACCTACCCTAAAATTATGAATAATACTGGCAGAGTGCAAATGCCGTTTCCGAAAAGCACTCTCAGACAAGCGATAAGCCTGTGATTCTGTGATTCATCTTTTCTCTCAGGAGTGAAGTGCAGTGGAGGAAGGAAGGGGTTTAGAACGGATTGACATTTGGTTAGTTCCATCCCGCCATCTGAATTCGCTTTCGTCCTAATTTTTGATAGTTTTCTTTTTCTGGCCTTCAAATAAGGAACATGCACTGCTACTACTTTAGAATTGTCAAAACCCCCCTCTCTATTCGTTCTCTGTGGAAGGTGAAGACCCTCGAAAGTAGTCAAGTGGTAGCCAATACTAACAACAAGCACCCGCTGTCAAGACTTTTGACGGTTTTCTTTTTCGAAGATTGCTTAGAAGCGAGTCGTTAAGTAAAAATCTCTATTATGTGCCAGCCAGTCTATCATCGAAACGAATGAACGATTCATAAAATGAATGATACTCCTATTGGAGTCATCCCTGTGCATCGCTACTTCATGCCTGTGAGTCTTTGAATGCACACATGAGCACAATTGCAGGTGACATTCCCGACGACACTTGGTGTGAACGCATTCCGTGGATTTCTGAACGAGTTCATGCATGAGCATGCAAAAAATAAAAAATCATTGAAACGGTCTAGTGTTCTGCAGGTAACAAACCACGCTTATGGTACTTAAGTCGCCTATACAATCAGGCATTTCTTATCAGTGAGAGCGGCTGTTCGAATTATACACCTGACAAGCTGCAGTTTGCAGCCTTTTTCCGCGCTTATGCAACTGGCAAAATTTGCCAGTTGCTTTGATCATTGCTGCATCATCCGGTGGTCAGCCTGCCTCTAGCGATCCTGAAATTTTTTCGTCCCCTGAAAGAATTACCAGATCAAAGATTTTTCCAACAAAATCATCTGCCAAGGTTTTAGCCGCTTCTGGATATCACTGATGCGCGTTGAGCACCACCACCTTACCTCTAGCTTGCCTAGAAACCGTGGTGAAGTGCTGCACCGATCAGAAGACCAGAACCACAAATATATGACAAGGTTGCTTTGAATGTAGGCTTAAACATGCATGATAACTGTTATGATAAGTGATGCTGTTTCTACTAGGGTTCGCAAAAAAAGGATTTTTTTCCCGAATTGTTGGGCTTTTTGCATATCTTCTTACCTTATCAGCAACAAAGGCTTCTTCCTCCTCCACCTCCAGACAGTCCACTTTTGCTAAACAAATAATATTAGCGCAGTTTGCCGCTAAAGTTCGTGTGAAACTTTCATTTTTTTTTGTTAGCAAATAAGGCAAGGAAGAAGGAAATTGGGCAGAGGAGCAAAAAAAGAGTTGAAACTACAATAATTAAGCATACGTTTGGGAAGAATTAATTTTTGTATAAATTCGAATTTCTTAATTTAAAAATTTCAGATTTCATTTTTCACTTTCTCTTCATTCTTTTTCTCTTAGTCATTGCAAACTGGGAGTGCATAACTTCTGTCAATCATTTTTTCAGAATATTAGTGAATGTTTTTTGCAGACTGTTCGCAAAAAAAGAAGAAGATCAGATGCAACCGTGGTAGGTGAAATTTTCGTCCTGATTTCTAAAAAGCTTTGTTGATTTTTTACAATGAACTTCACGTAATACGTCCTTAAATTTCAAACTGAATTTGATAATGACACTGTTATAGCTTTTCAGTTCGCTTAAAATTTTCTGATATTGTTTCCACTCAAAATCCAGTTGCTTGTTGTTTTGCAATGAAAACTCTGTAAAATTTTTTCAGTTTAGAAAAAATAAACTTTTTTGTTCTTTTAAGAAGTTTTGCCAAGGGAAACTTCCTTCGCCTTTCTTAAATCAAAACGTTTTTCAGGAATGAAAAAACTTGAATTTGTGCACTCATTGTTCAGTTAATCTTGCTTCAAAAGTCTCGCTTCAGATAATTTTATGTTGTTTAAGCCTAATGCCTTTTAGGGCTTATTATTTTCTTGTTTCTTTTGTCTTTCTTCCGGAAGCGGCCCAAGTACACATATCTGTACTGTACTTTGTTCGGAGTTACGAAATCCGATAAGTATACTGTAATTGATATAAATTATAACATGCAGTTTTTATTGGTAGGTGTACAATGGTCATCGATTCAAGCTGGAGTATGTACACGTACCGACGTATTGCGAAGTGTGCAATCAGTTCATGTGGCATGCCGAGAAAATTTTCATCTGCAAAGCTTGTCGAATTAGCTGCCACAAAAAGTGTCACACCAAAATGACAACGAATTGTGCGCATTCTCCGCCGCAACCGGTCATTACGTTTTTTGACTAGTATTTTTATGAATTCGCTAATTTGTGATTTCGGTTTATCATTCTTAGTAGCAGTTGGAGGGTAGCAGCCCAGGATCGAACTGCCTGGCGTAGTTTTGCCCGGCGTTTTGAACCATCCCAGTGAAATCACTAGTATGTGACTCCTACACCGATTGTTCAGGGAACCTTAGTATACTTGGTACCGGTTTTTTTACACAATTCTCAAGAGGATGACTTTTAAGTCAGCTCCAACAACCTCGTCTTCAAAAGTTAAGGCTTCTGTTCCTTTCTTTGTCTGGATGTGCAGCAGTCATCGTCATGAACGAGAATGCAAGGGGAACATATTCAAAGAGCGAAATTTCGGATTTAACTGAAGCATATAGAAGGGAGAAACAATGAATTCTTTGTAGAGTTTTGATTTTTTTTTGTAACATACTCGACGATTCAGTGAGCTCTAGTAACTTTTCAACGACTTAACGTCAGCAAAATAACAGTATATTTCTTCTTAGAAGCGAAACCATTTTGCATGGAAATGGTAAAACTGTTAATAACTGATGAAGAGAATCTGATTTTGTATAGAATTTCCAACTAGAAAACAAAGAAAATTACTGGCGACGCGCACCAAGGCGGGCCCATATGATCATTCGTTTTTGCAATATTTTGTGTTGCCGTCAGATCGCTTGGAATTCCTTCCTGTGCCTCGAGGAGCAATATGTAACTTCCTGTGCCTTAACGTCCTGTGCCTCGAGGAGCAATATGTCACAAATCCGAGCATTAGCTCGAATTTGTGACATATTGCTCCTCGAGGCACAGGAAGTTAATTGTTCAACTACGTGATACTTGAACAGGGAAATTCCGCTATAGTTTCAGCTTTTCTGGTTCCCGAGTTAGCAGTTTCCCCCTAAAAAATTCCCAGACCCGCATGTGAGAACCACGCACACCTGTAGGCTGATTTTGAAATCCTTAATTTCTGCGCAGATGAAAAAAATCCCCTCGAATTTCAGTTTTAATTAAAATCTAGGCCTAGCGCATCGACAAACCTGACGCTTTCAGCCTGGAGTTTGATAAAATGTCCACCAAAATTCTTTCTGCAAGGACAATGTTACAGCGAAAGGAAAAAGAGTGGCAGGGGAGGGAGGGAGGGGGAGGGGAAATGGTGCGAATTTTTTCGCCTTCTTTTGTTGAAATACTTAAAATCGTCCGTAGATATAGCATATTGCGAAGTAAGTTTTCCCCCAGTTTGACAGTTTCAGTACAAAGACCTGTCCCTCTAACAATTCATTCATTGTTTTGATGGTAAACCGGTACTGACAAAAATTTGAGGTTTCCACTCTACTACTCATTTCCCAAAACAACGGCTAGTGTCGCTACAGGTTGTTGAGAACAGGAGTTCAATTCCATTTCTGCAGTTGAAGGGGAAATGGATTAATATTCCTGTAGTTGCACACGGAGATAAACGCTTATTTTAGGGTATTCGGCACGGTAACACAAATGAAATAGGCATTGTTAAGCGGACAGCTTATAATTTGCTTTAACCAATGCTTTATTAACTGTTCCGCCCCTGAAGTCAGGCTTATTATACACGTGATGAGGTGTTGCCAAGCTAACATGAAAACATATCCTCGTCTACTACAGTAATCTGTCCTCTCAATTTCTGTCACCCGTATTTCAGTTGCCCTCTCAATCTCTGTTTCTCTTTTAAAGCTGCGTTGCAAAACTGAAAGAGTGCCCTCTCAACCTCTGTCGCAGATCGCGTTATATTTCCATCACTTTTACGCCGCAGAAATGGAAGAGAAGCTGAGATTGAGAAGGCGATTAAAGCACTGTGCAATTAGCTGTAGGGATTTAGAGGGTTTGCAGAATATTGCAGCGCTAAGTAACAGATCAGGGGATTTCACGTGCCCGTGCGTGAGTATCATGTATACCTAGATGCTGAATTTCAGTGTTTGAATTTTACATAAACAGGAATATCTATTCAAAATTTCAGCCATCCAGCTTCTTTGGCTCCCAAATCAGGAACTTTCCCGCCAAAAATTCTCACGAACCCGTACATGAGAACCACGCCCAACTTGGATCTGAATTTGAAATTTTAAAATTGTACGTATACAAGGAACATCCCTTTAAAATTTCAACCTCCCATTTTTTTTGTGTTCCCGAGTTGGCAAATTTGCCCGTCAAAACTTTCCGTTTTCGTAAGTGGGGCTCAGACGTACGTGGAGGTTAGTACTGCTTTTATAAGGTGACCCTTGGCCGGTGAACCGATCGACAGAATTTTAGCGCCTCGCTTGCTTGACTGCTAAGTTTAAATATGCGAACAGACGTGTACACACACACGCGCGCACACACACGCACACACACGCAAACACACACACACACATGCACACACATACACACGCGCACATACACACACAAACACACACATACAAACACCTACATACAAACACAAGTATACATGAACACGCACACCATGTTCGTCACGATATGTATTTTTGCGTTTGCATATATGCAAAAACGCATTAAAAAGGCTAGCTTTAACATCACTATCAAAGTGACTACCAGATGGTGCAGCGGAGCAACAACCACGGACATATTTCCAAGCTAATTAATCTGATGCATGCAAATAACAGTGACACAGTAGTTAAATCAGAACTCGCATGAGGAAAATCGAGGACATTTTCGGGCTTCCACCATCCGCATGAATCGAAAATTTAAGGGTCTACCCAATTGTGGCTTCACAGAATATAATACATAATACATAGTGTACTTCAACTATACAAAAGCCGATCCTAAGACAGCGACCATTTGAAGATAATTGTTAAATAATAATTTTTTAGTCTTTTTTGCAGTCTGGGGGACGGTTTTTCGGCGCCAATTTGAGCAGTTTGGTAGACGACCAGCGGACGATTCCAATCGTTATCAACAAATTGTTTATGACTATCGAGTTGAAGGCGCTTTTCGTTGAAGGCATCTACCGGAAAAGCGCTGCAATTGCCCAAGTCCGTAACGCGCGCTGGAAAATTGAGAATACTCCTGGTATTCTATTTGTTTATTTGTTTGTTCATTTTCGCACTTCAGTCACTTGTTGTTTTATTATGGCTCACTTCTCGCCATTGATGCAGCTGGCAACTTCAAAATTCTTCTTTATTTTGTGCCTTTCTCAATCAAATACGCCCTTCCAGTTAATCCTTCTTAGGGATAAACGAACTGTAGGGAGATTATTTATTCCACTGACGGAGTCGAACCTCGATCTCCGGTATGGGAGCAGCATTATTTGCCACTGTAGCATATCTGCCAGCATGTTTGCTTTTTGTGTAAACCCGTGATTGTTAACAAGAGTATTTCAGAATTTGAGTCACTAACGTTCGACGATATTCCAGCGCACGTGATAACAACGTTAGTGAAGTGTTTTTTTCGAGAATTGCCGGAGCCTTTAATAACCTACGATCTCTATGAGAATTTTTTGAATGCCTCAGGCAAGTTTTTCTGTCTTAATTCTTTTTTCCCAAATTTTATTTTTGTTTTGAATAGCCCTACCGAAGAAGTGGCGCATGAGCAGGTGGTGGGTACTAAATGAAGCTATGCAGCCCAGAATCGAGGGGTCTCGCACAGCTGCAGTAGGCGTGAAGAGACAACCTAGAAGCATCACTAATATGAAATGTCGAATTCGCGGCCTTGGAATTCTTTACTGCCATTGAAAAAAATGGCAAGGAGGTAGAGGTAGGAGAAATTACTGAGGCGGAAGGAGGCAGGGTTTTTTTTTTGTTTTTTCTAATGCACCAAAATATCCCTTTTTCGATTTAGGAGGAAATCGATTTAAGAGAAATCTAAAATTTTGAGAAAACTTAAAGTTTTTTATTTTACTGGTTAAACAATGTTTGCTGTTATCAATATTTTTTTCAAATTTAGAGGTGGAAGAAAGTTTTGAACGGATACGGTGTCTGAGTGTAATGGTGGAATTGCTTCCGAAGTGCAATAAGAGCGTCCTGGATCGGCTTATGTACCATTTGGCTAGGGTTGCCCATCAGGTAATTTCTATCCAAGCGTTTTTATTTAAGAGGGTCGTAAATGATATAAAAATAACAGTGGTTGGTAATTTGATTCTCCAGTTGTGCAGCTAACAATTTTAACAATTGCTTTGGTCAGTATTGTTTTGTCCGGCGGTCAATTAGCTGGCAATTTCGACATCCGTTTCATTTCCAAAAGTAGACTGAATAAGTTACCAGGTCACTGAAATTATTAATGCTTTCGAGCTTCCATAGAAAATGTTCACCCGTTTAGTTTAATTAACATGGTAAATTTTCATAAAATCGGGGTGTGATCCTTGAAGAATTAGTTTGGCCAAAGGAATAACAATCGGATCTTTCCCTATTTTTCGTTCGAAGACTTTATACTTTCCAACAGATTTATTCTAGAGATAGAATGGGTAAGGATGGGTTTCTGGATTTCTTATTCAAAATGGATTTCCTCATTCGAGTGATGAAATTTCTGTGGACACAAGGGAAGAGATTGCAGGAGTCGGTGAATAAGATGGGTGCCGCGAATTTGGCTCTTATATTTGCACCATGTATACTGCGCAGTAATCAGGCTCAACACGCGCAGGATCAGTTACGAGACGTCACTCGACAGGCCATTTGCGTACAGGCACTTATTGAAGAAAAACTACGGCAGTTCCGTTTAACGTTGACACAAATCGTTTCACTGGAAACCGTCAGTGAAAAGGTCAGTTATTTTAGAAAAAATCTGAAATGCTGAAATGTTTTTAGTCGGCAGGCATGGCGCAGTGGGAAGGAGCACTGTTGATGTGCAGTAAATCGAAAGTTCTTCGCTGGTGAGACAACCAGTCCCTCTACGATTTGTTCATTTGTTTCAACGGCAAACTGATACTGGCACATGTCAAGGAGTGAAACTGCCGCCAGCTTGCTTCTAGACAACACTCGAAAGAAAGAGTCGTCGACAGACTTGCTTTGTGTTGGCACCAACTACTACTCGGAATTTTTCCAAATATCTCTTTTTGTTAAAGAGTTCAACGAGACGATTTTAACAATTGTTTTCATGCCGCAGTTTATTCTAACTTAAAAACTTGAACCCCATTTAACAAGACAATGAAGACTTAGTCTCGCTGGGATTTCAACATTGATTACAGGACGTAGGCTTATTCTGTGTTGAAAGCAGCTTAAATGTGTTCTTTTCTGTCTGCTGTGCCTACGTATGGGAACCATCCTAGTAACGTCACTAACACTAAAATGGGATGAAGATGCGTTACTGTTGATGTATACAAAATATGAAAAGATATGATTAAAAATACTCAGATGAGAAAGAATATTTCGTTCCATTAAGTCGCATACACTGCTTTTCAGCACCATAACCGGAGCACGTCAGTACTAAAGTTGCGATGATGATTGCAATAAAGTTAGAAAAATCTGCTTCTACTCACTAAAATAACCTGAAAGTGACAGTATTAGTACAATAAAGAGTGCTAACTCCTTCCGGACAATCGGAGTGGGAACTCAAATTACGAGAAGGAATAGCAAAGCCTGCTATAAAATCATTTTATATAAAATACATAATACACATGGCTTTATTACAGATAGTTGAGAATTTGCGACTGATCGAAGAGCACAAAGTGTCAGCTGCACTTGAAACGCGACGGCCAGCTGCAAACTTCGAAACGGCGCGTCTCCTGTTTCTGGAACAATTGAATTTCTTAGATAACGAAAAGTAAGTGTTCAGCAGTTATTCGTGAACTTCAGTTTGAAGCTGGGATCACCATAGGCTGACCGTTGGATGTTACAGCTTCAGTTCGACAGATTGTCAATCGCCCACACAGAGCCAGAGGGCATAGTGTTAAATGAAACAATGGCTGAAACAAACTGTCACTGAGTTATTTCATTTCACTACAAACATTGATTTCAGGGACAAATTGATCCAGGATTTACCGCCACTGGCTCCAGTAGCATCCTTGGAAGACCTGTCTTCGATGGACGAGAACAGTAATTCGTCACTGCTGCTGAGGCTGGATAAAACACCCCAAGAGGAGTATGCGCTGGATTTCAGTGTTCCGCCTATTTTCAATAGGTTACGTAATGTTGTCAGTACGCGATCACGGGGACCGCGGAGACGCCCTCCAAGTCGGCAGTTCAGGCTAAAGCAGCACGAAAAGCATTTCTCTGTGGTATTCTCATAGCATCTCTTTTTGTTGCCAACTGAATTACTGTTTTTACTCAGTGAGATAAATGTATGTAAACTTGTTATACGCAGCTTAACTCGCAAAATAGGAAAACAATTGGGCCACAAATGCATTTCAGTATTTGAGAACATAATTAGTCAGGCAACTGGCCCATAAATGTTCATAGAAGTCTAAGAGCACAAGTCGAGAAAACAAGAGGTCTGGGATACCTAATTTTATCAATTCACTCAGTGTTCTAGTGGAACGGAACAGGGCAACTTTTCTTAAAGCAGAATTTTTCAGTGTGGTTATCTAGTAATGTTACTGAAATGTTCCTATGTGCTAGTCATGGCTACGTCAGGTCTTTCGGTTACAAGCTGTTTGCTTCCTGTAAGCACCCACTGCTCGTTTAATATATGGGCGCCATCTCTCCGAGGGTTGTCGGAATGGTCGTTTGCTTTTTCCCATACCACTTGCTGGTGCTCGACGTTCACTGATTGTCGGCGAAACAAAAAATATGTCCTCTCTATCGGATTTTGATTTCTCACATAATCGTAATTACAAACAACACGCTTCTTGACTGACAGTGAGATTTTTCCTTAAATGACCATGAAGGCTTTTTTGGGCCATTAATCTCTTCATCACAGCTAGTGACCGTTCATCTACTTTCATGAGTGTTTACTTTCCGGTCCGTACTTTTTTGGCAGGCAGTCATACTTGCAAGGGTTTCAGCTGATCATTCAATTATGAGTTCAAAAAATTAACTCAAATTTGTATGTGCGGTGAAGCATTATGAGTAAAATGGTGTTTTGGTGTTAAAGATCTTAATAATCATAAAGACCCTGTACTAATTTGGTACCTCTTAGGATTTAACTGTGATGGTACCAGTACTGCTAACTCGTTTTTTGCAAAACATTTGTGGCAAAAAGCAAGAGGGATTTGTTGTGTTTGCTTACCAGCTTGCCGCCACTCCCCTCGCTCCTCTGTTTGCACTCAAATTTAGATGTGAGAAAATCAGATTTAACTCACTTAATGTCGATTTTTGTCTTCAAAAAAATATCGCAATTTTATAGTGATTTTGGGAACGGACTTTCGCTGCGGCCTTCGGAAATATTTAGCACTAATTTTTTGTGACAGCTGATACACACTTTTTATGCGTTTTTTGCAGCCATGCAGTGCGAAAAATGCATATTGACGAGAGGTTGTCTGTGTGTGACTGTGTCTGTGTGTCTGTGTGTGCGCTGCGCATCTGTACCGATTTTTCATCTCGAGACCCACAAAAGCTACAGAGCTGAAACTTTGGGGACTTAATCTACATGCACGTACGGGCCCCTATCCCCAAA